TTTTTTTTCCTGACATGTCTAATATTTTAACTCCTTTCAGTCATGATACATGCAATTTTATTTTTCCTTCTGGAATATTATTCTGTTCTAAGTGCCACTGCTCCTTTGACCTCATGTTAAATGTCATTAGCCCCTAAATTAGTGCACTATATAGTAAACTCCACTGGTTCAGGGGACTGCATTTTTCACTGATTAATTAATTAGCTCACCACGGTTTTCCCAGCTCCTTGTACCAAAGTCACATCACTGGCATGCTAAAACTTGTTACCTGAGTAAATCAGATATTTAACATCTTCACAGGGATTCTCTGATTAAAGTAGGGTGAGAGTTGATCTAACTCGAGCTAAATGTTTAAGGGTTAGAATCATTGCCTTTACCACCAAGTCCTCCAAGGCTACACACCAAACCTCTTTTCTGAATTGAGTACCTGCCACTGACTCCACCCATTTTAAAATCCAGCCCAGGTTCTTCCTTTGGGGGGTCCTTTCCATCCAACCTTGGCCTCCTCACTGTGACTCTGTGCTCCATTAAAAAAAAAATGATGAAATCATTTGTCTGCAGGCTTCAGTAGATACTGGAGCATGATATACCAAAAGCAGTTATTCTCACTGTTCATGTTCATCTTGGATGGTCCTACTGCTCTCAACATCCTGCATGCCCACACTGATGTGCTTGCAAGTTTTATGTTTTGGCCTTGTTTTATTTAGTGCTGATTCCAATCCACAGCTAACAAAAAACAAGTTGTAGGTTGACTCATGGACACAGAATTCCCCACACCAGGACTTTCAGAGGTTCTTCCAAGTGTACCCAGAAGCTTCCAGAGTCAGTAGAAAAGAGCCAATTATTTGTGATGTTCCTCTACCAGCAAACTGGACTGTGGAAAGTCATTGGGAATTAGGCAAATGGGTATCAGACCTAGAAAACCTGGATCAAAATCTACACACCTCAAATTCCAGGACCTGTTTTCTTTCTCTGAAACCTTGTACTGTAGCCTCTCTTTAAATAAGATTGCACATTTTCTAGTACTTTATCCTGTTGAAATGTATTGCAATCTAGTGTTTTAGAAATGTTCTCTCAGGTTTACTTCATGTTTTCTGATATTCTAGCCTGAATAAATACTCAGAAATGTGGATAATGCCTTATTTCTATTAGGCTTTATTTCCATGTCCAGTGTAAGAAAAGAGGCAATCATGGGGCCACAGCAATAATGAGTGAATATTTTAAATTTGGAAAGGTTCACATCAGAGGGTTACAAAATATATCATCAAGTCCTTGTTTGAACACTCTGCCATCTTAAAAAAAAATCCTTTCTACCCCATGTGTATAAGCTCATTAAATTTTCCAATTGAACTTGGAATCAAATAAAT